GCGCTCTCTTCAGAAGGAATGCAATAAAATAAAACCCTTGTCTCGAGGTTCTCCCTCAAGGATGCTGACGAAAGTGACTGCACACTTCCACATGGAGAGGAATTTAACACAGCGTCAGCCCAGCGGGCCTCCCTGGAGAGACCTGGAGGTTATCTATACATCCCAGAAGGCAGCTTCCTGTCCCTCCACATCCGGTCATTGGCGAACGTTCCAGGCCAAGGCCCCTGGTTCACAACCATTTCGCGTCATCCCCATTTCTCTGAAGATAACTACCAAGTAAGATAATATGGACATTCACTGCATTCTTCCATGCATGGCAGTTTCTTTCTGTCCTAGAACTTCACAGTTTCAATTTGCTCCGGGTGAGGTTGGGGGTATGAAGAGGAAAAGGAAGTTGAGGAGATGAAAGAGCATCACCCAGAACAGAGATTCTACAATAAATACAAAACAATACGTTTCTTAAATGACCTTCAGAAATGTAGCACGACTGTCGCCAAACAGTAACATGACAGAAAGTTGACAATAAAACTAGAAAAAAAAGAAAAGAAAAACAGCAAAAATGAAAAATGACCTGCAGATCAAAGCTTTAAAACCAACCTGTTCTACTGGTGTTTACATCTGTTTACCTTCTATTTCCTCTAGTCACTAGAGGAACAGCTTTCACCAAGTCCTCTCCTTGGGCGGAACTCTGGAAGCGGGCCTCAGTATTAAATGTGCTGGGTATGTGTCTTTCCCACTCCCCACCCCACAGCCCTGAAGGCTGAGCGAAAACAAACACTAGCATTTCCATTTTAAGAAGAATTCAAGGAGTACAGCTCTTAATGTTAAAAGCTCATAAGCAAATGTAAATGAAAATTCCTCTGAAATAACTTTTACATTTAATTAAAATTAATTCTATTAAGTTTTGTATAACCCAAATCAAACAAATCCAACTTTCAAAAATTTAAATCCACCAGTATATTTTTAAAAACACACTTCAGCCCTCGCCGGTGTGGCTCAGTAGATAGAGCATAGGCCTGAAGACTGAAGGGTCCCAGGTTCGCTTCCAGCTCAGGTGGGTTGCAGGCTCGATCCCGGGTGGGAGGCGTGCAGGAGGCAGCCGATCGATGATTCTCTCTCATCATTGATGTTTCTATCTCTCTAACCCTCTCCCTTCCTCTCTGAAATCAATAAAAATATATTTTAAAAATATAACACACAGTTCACTGGTATGTCCCAGAAATAAAATGAGACAAAATAATTACATAAACATTATTAAGGAAACAACACAATGGCACTTGAGGGAAGTTCTGCTTCTACTCAATCAGGACATTCTCAGGGAGCCTCCTGGGTTGGGGACTGGGTTGGCCACTGGCTGGCACTTCATAACCAGGACGTCAGGAGAACCTCCCCAGCCCTCCTGCTCAACAAGGACAAGGCAGTGAAGTACCCTGGGAGCAAGCAGAGTAAGTACTTCATGACCCAAGGGACTCTCTTGTCATTCTTTGCTTCTAATTAAGAATATAGTGGAGAGAATACAAAACTAATAAAGTATTTGTAGATAAATTAGACATTCTAATAATATATAGGTCTATTCAACTCCTACCAACAAAAGGAAGATACAGAATTTGTGCAAGAATAGCCCAAGGAGCCAAGAATTTTAGAAACAAGATATTTCAACAAGACTCACAGTAATGAGAAGACGACCTTTTTCTTTCTTTTTAATTGAGCTATAATTGATATATGACGTTGTGTTAGTCTTAGGTATACCACACAATTCTTGATTAGTCTTGGCAAAGGAGGACAGAATGAACTTGAATATTAAATGAAATTGAATATAAATTAGGGGAAACCGGAACATCACGGAGAACCTCCCCGCAGACTTGTGTCTAGAGTAGACTCTTGACAAGGAGAACACAGTGCCCATTCCTCCCCCAACATAGTAAGTGGAGGTTCTTCACCTGAGGGCCATGACTTCATAGAGAGGCCACTCAGACTGAAGGATGGCAATGAACCCCAGAAACGGTGTACAAAGCCACGGGCATGCGTGCGATGTTTTAGGAAGAAGAGCCATAGCGTTTGGCCTCTCAATCAAGGAGGCCCTTGACATGAGAAAGATTAAGAAACACGGATAAGGGAGATGCAGCCCCACACATGGGCACACACACAAAGTAACAGATCCCGGTGCTCCTGACTACACATCTTGGCCCAGAAGAGGGCCTTGGCCTGTGCTATCGTCAGAGTGGCCAGCACGCAGCCTGGGCTCCCACTGGCCTGTGAAACCTTCCCCCTCTGCGAGGTGAGGCCTTCGAGGCAACCGCACCATAAGGAGCTTCTGCAAATCAATGTAAGTCTTTGTCCTGGGGAGCCATGTCTAGAGAAAGGTCCCAACGGCTGTCTTCAACCACAGACCAAAAGATGAGGCTGGAACAGGGCGTTCAGAGGCGACCGTCACGCTGCCGTCAGCCATGCTGGCTTCCTCAGCAGAAACCACGACCCTGAGGGTGGTAAAGGGAGACCTTTTCTAACTGTGTCTTCTCTAAATGTAAAAGGCCACTACCAACTACACAACTTTTTTCTTTCTTGTTCTTGGGAATTAAATACCAAACCCATAATTAGACTCTGGGTTTGAAGATGTTGACATCAACTTAGCATCCCCCCTGGCTTCCTGGAAATCATCCAACAGAATAAGTAACAAAACCACAAACTCCATTTTTAGCCAAGCAAAAAAAACAGTTAAATACCATGAAATAGGTGGAAGAGCTACAAAAAGAGTGACGGTGGGGCGGTACACATGCAGTAAGAAGCCCAAACAAGGCCCATGGCTGTAGAAGTAGCCTCCGGAAGGTGAGGGCTCGCTGGGGAAACCGGTCAGGTTTTAAGGAGCAGAGGAGGCAGAGCCCAATGGAGAATCCTACAACTGTGCCCCGAGCCGGGAGCAGGAAGCCCTGTCTGCAGCAGTGGGAGGCACCGAGGCCTCTGCACTGTGCGAACCTCCCCCAGCTGCTTGTCTCACAGGCAGGAGAAGAGTAGAGGTAGATTAAACAAAGTCACACAGGAAACCTCGGTTGGCTTGGTCGAGGAATACATTCATCTCCTGCGAGAAAGTAACCTAAAAAGAACCAGCAGAGCCCTGGACGGGTAGCTCATCTGGGTAGAGTGTCGTCTGGAGATGCCAAGGTTTCGGGTTGGATCCCCAGTCAGGGCACAAACAAGAATCAACCAATGAATGCATAAGTGGAACAACAAATCAATGTCTCTCTCTATCTCTCTCTCTCTCTCTCTCTCTTTCTCTAAAATCAATTAAAAACATATTTTTAAAAAATTGAAATTCATGAATTTTGAACCTAATGAACTGGATAACTATTAACACAATAGATCAATCTTTACAGAATGAGTACCCTCTGGCCTTAAATGTACACAATTATAAGCCCCTTAAAATTTGGTAACTTGCCAGGCTGGCGTGGCTCAGTGGTTGAGTGTCAACCTATGAACCAGGAGGTCACAGTTCAATCCCCAATCAGAGCACACGCCCGGGTTGTGGGCGGTTGTGGGCTAAACCCCCAGAGTGGGACGTGCGGGAAGCAGGAGGCAGCTGATCAATGATTCTCTCATCATTGATGTTCCTCTCTCTCTCCCTCTCCCTTCCTCTCTGACATCAATAATTTATATATTTTATACATTTATATATATTATATAAATTTGGTAACTTATGGGCACAGTGGTCTTCCTCGGAAGAGATGTCAAGATTGCATGCTACAAAGTCACATTTCTCTGGATTATCTCTTTGGACTTGAACGCAACAGCCAGAGAAGTGAAAGCCTCTGAGAGTGTCCCAGCCATTCTCTCTCCAGTGTCTTCCCTTTCTGATGGTCCCAGCACCACGATGTGCCCCGACAGCCACCGCTGTTCCCAGGGGTCCTCTGCGCACCTAAGCAAGTCCTTCCTTCCCAACGTTTCAGAAACACTTGGGGTCACCTGGGGCTCTTACTCCACATTTGGTCTAGAGAGCACATACATCAACAGGAGCTGCCCTTTCATTTACCGACAGAATCAAATGCGTTAATTAACCAAAATTTTTAAAAAATCGTAAGTCAAGGTGGGAAAACACAAGTTAGACAAATTGCTTGTTGAAACACTCTAGTCCTTCTAGTGGCACTCAGAGACCCATTTCGGTTGGAAATGAAAATCAGAAACATTAGAGATTTCAGCTTGTTAGGTATCCCTATCTCCACTATTCTATGTAACAACTGTTTTCCACCTTGTGTGAAAAATACACGATCACAGAGATTTCTCCAGGTAGTAAATAATGGCCAATATTATGTGATGTTGACTAGAAAAGAGAATTTTGAAGAGAATGCATTGTCTCCAATCTATCACTAAAATGGAGCTAATGCTACCTAGCAATCCCATTTCTAGATTGTACTCAAGTGAAAGATTACATTCACACAAAAACCTGTTCACAGATGTTTCTAGTAGCTTTATTCAAAATCACCCAAATGCCCCTCAACGTGTAAATGGATGAAAAGTGGTACATCCATACAAGGGAAGATGACTCAGCACTAAAAACAAGGATGTCAAACATGCGGCCCACAACGAATATTTTGGTGGCCCAGCCAATATAACAGTATGTAAGCAATGTTTTAATAAAAATTTCGTAACTTAATTTTTACAATATCCTGTTATACATAACTAGAGGCCCGGTGCAGGGATTCATGCACCAGTGGGGTCCCTCGGCCTGGCCTGCAGGGATCGGGCTGAAACCAGCTCTTCAACATCCCCTGAGGGGTCCCGGGTTGCGAGAGGGTGGTTCTCGGGTAACGCACCCCGGAATCAGGCGCCCTCCTCTCTGGTTCTGGGTACGTCACCCAAGAACCACAGCTGCCAAGTCACTGCAGCTCGGCAGCTCCTACATTGAGCACCTGCCTCCTGGTGGTCATTGCGTGTCATAGCTACTGGCTGGTCGGCTGGTTGGCTTTTATATATATAGATATAGATTATTAATAATGAACTACAACGTTCGCTAATGACTGATTACTGTAATCGTGTTGTATTCATTTCCCTATGTGCCTTACACACAGGCGCACCATTTCTCTCCACTAATACTAGCAGCAAGTATTTTAGAGCCGATGGCCACGTCATTAGTCTTGGACTGACTTGGTGTGTGCAACAGGAAACATTCCGCTTTCGGAGAACAAGAAAAATAGGTTTATTTGTGTTACACTTATTAATTTGTGCAGTTATTCAGTGTCTGGTAAGTTAATGTTCAAGAGTTAATTTTTTATTAAAATGTTCTATTATTTTATGTTAACAATGACTCGTTTATTTCAGTCCTTTGTGTTCAGCATGTCTCTATCGAAATAAAGCTACGTTTCTTTGAAAACTGAAGCTTTTGTTTTTTTGCAGCCCACATAAACCTAAACCTTGTTTATTTGGCCCGGGTTAGCCTTTGAGTTTGACTTGCTAATACACACAGCA